TGTTTTTCATCAGATGTCAGGAAATATTGATTCATCTCCGGCTCAGAAAAAGGCTTTTCTGTCAGGTTGAGTCTCCAGCGTTTCCGCATTATACATGCAGTCGTGAAGTGTCACTTAATAATTGAATGCCATTTACTCTTCTATAAATGGAATGACGTTAGAAACATTATTAAGCATACACCCAGGAAAACATGCACGGTAAATTAGGAGCGGAAAAATGAATTATGAATAAGAATATTCTGAAGGGAAGCCAACATTTTTTCTTACATCTCAGCCTTATTTAAAGGTAACCAATAAGTTTATGCTATTGTAAATTGTATTAGATCTTATACTAATCTGAGATATAAATAAAAACAACACATAACCAAGACAAATCTGATGCACAAGAAATGAGACAAGACGCACTAAATTAATATGTCAGTTCCATTTTCAATATCAGACCAATCCGGTTATAATGATAATGATAATGCATCGGTTTTATATAGCGCTTTTTTGACACTCAAAACCCAGACCCAGAACACATGTATTTCCTGTTTGAGACGGCTCAAAGCCTTTGTGAGTCGAGTGTGCATGTTCAGGTAAAGATTACTAAGTTATCTCTGTGTCTGGGTGCTCAGGTTTCCATTACCACTAATAATGTACAATGGGACTATGAAAAACTCCTCTCAAATACACAACCCTATGATAGAACAATAATGTGCAATAGTGTGCATGAGCGTAAACAAGTGAGCTACTCTTCTCAGTCGGCTCTTTTCTCACAGTCACGCCTCAGAGAACACTTCTCTGGGGGGTCGACTTCACGGACATCTTACTCACACTTACAGCTCGTTCACACACTCCTTCTTCAGCAACGGGACTCTGCGGCTCTATGGAGGCCGATTGGCCCTAACTTTCTAAGAGATCCCTGTCCGCAGGTAATCTTGGCCTGAGCAGATGGTTAAAAGACGGAAATTAAACTCTAAACAGTCTCTTTGTAATGTCTAATAAAATCACCTTCACAATTACCTGCCCGACCACATGGGCAAAGGTACAAGATATTTATATCTGCCTGTGTTTCTTCTAAACCAATTTATTTAGGCGTGTTAGAATGGTGTGGCTAAGATAGTCACTTGTATTTATTCATTTTCCGTGGCACAAATATAAAAACGTAATTTTTCTCGTGAAGTTTTTACTTTCACTTTTACACCAAATCAGGGAGATTTGCTATTCAAGCCTTCGCCAGTCAATATAATGAAATTTTAAGGGTAACGCATTAGTTAATTAGGCAAAATTGTTTTTTACCAGTGCTTATTACCAAGCCTCTACTGACTTTGACGGACTGGGCCCAATGACACTTGTATTAATTACAATTTTGCATTAAAATCCACATAATACCCAGAGATGTGTTTCAATCTATGATCCACAAACGTGTTATACGGCTGTGGACTGTTATTCATTTCCAGAAGCGGCAAATGAAGCTGCAAAAGCTAATATTTTTTACAGCTCTGCCAATTACTGCGGCTGTTCAAATCAGACACGCGTTGGGTTTTAGAAGTAAATATTTACATATATTTGTTCAGTGCACCACAGAGGCTAAAAAAACTCCCTACTTAAAATAAACCGTTAGTCTATTCAACACCATTCAATTAGTAGTAATCGTGCTACCTGATTATGCAGAGAATTCAGAAACATGAGATGGTCGTATGCTCCTGTGCTTGTATGCGACTTCACTGTTTTTGCACTTTCTCTGCAGAGTGGCTGGACCTTTAGAGATAAGGTGAGGAGCATGGGATCACACACTGGAGGAGCTCAGAGTAGAGCCGCTGTTTCTCCACTTTGAAAGAAAGCCAGTTGAGGTGGCTCATGGGGAGGTGTTGAAGCATGTCCAACCCGTCAAGAGACCCAGGACACGTTGGAGGGACTATGTCTCTCAACTGGCCTGGGAACTCCTTGAGATTCCTTTGAATTAGCAGGAGGAGCCGTGGGGGGATAGGTAAGTTGGGCTTCTCTGCTTGGGACTGCTGCCCCGGATAAAGCAGAAGAAAAATGGATGGATGGACCTTTGGACTGAGTCTGTGTGAGTGATTAAAACGACAAAGATTTAGATTTTTTTAAGGGAGTTGAGATTGCTCCTCTCCGCCGGCTGTCTGTGTTCTGCAAATGTACTTCTAGTTGCAATATATTTTCCTCGTCATTTTCTGTACGTATACGATCTCCCCACCTCTCCAAACAATTCATGCAGCCGTGTGACTATATAGGAATCCCACTCGTACCCTGGGAGCGCATGTTGAACAGAAGGCCCCCATTCAAAGGTTCAAAATGTTATCTCACATCTTTTGTTTCAAGTTTTCACGTCTGGTGGCTTTCAGAAGTCGACCTCACAGTGAGCAAAGAGCAAAGGCAGCGAAAGACGACTTCTGAGCACTACAGTGCGGGTCCTTGGGCGAGCCATATAGAGCGTGTGTGGTGTGGGTGTGTGTGTCATAGACTGTGTGTGTATCGTGACAAAGGATGTCGCGCACACTTGACACACTGTGAACAGGACTTGAGGTCCACCAACTCTGAAGCGGACCAATCTCGGAAATAGGAACAAGTGCGATAAGCCTGCCAAATGAAAAAGGAGAAGTTGAGAGTGAGGGAATAAAGGGCGCAGCAGGATGTAAAAACGTCTGCGGAGAAGATAAGCCGCAAAGGGAGAAATGAAAAAGAAAATTGGAACTCCAGTGAGCGTCAACAATCGGGTTTTTTGTTGTGTGTGTATTGTTGGAAAGAAGCATGTGGTTAGGCAGAAAGAGCAGTGCATTGTGGCCTTTACGCCGCAGGATCTCATGGTGGGACTGCTTCCTATTAGCTGAAGCTAACACAACCCAACTCTGTGCTTAATGAGTGATAGGCCACATCACTCCTTACCTAAATATAGGCTCATAAATGCAATACTAAAAAATACAGGGAGTATATATTCCCATAATAAATGTGCATATAGAGAATAAACAGGAGAGTTATGCCGTGAGCTAGCTAACCTTTCTTGTGCTACTGCTGGGAGGCTGAGGAATAAACAGTTTTGCTGTAAAGGGAGGGCCTATGTGATTTTACAAACAGCCAGGAGCCATTCACAAATGGGAGCAGTGAACTGTTGGTGAGAGTAAATGTTACCGGTTCACTTTTCTATGGATGACACTAATGAATATATTATCTGGTTCCTAGATTGGTTCCATGTAAAGTACTCTATGTAAAAAGAAAGGCAAATAGTGGTTCAATCGTTTATTGAAAATTGATCAAATAGATTTTAGCCTACTTGGGGCTCAAAAATTAACCCCACCCCCCCCCCCCCCCCTTTTTTTTAAATAACTTTATTTATAATTTATATTACAATAATTAAAATTATTTATAATTTAAAAAATTTAATTTATTAATTTGGCCGTTTGTCCAAAATAATGAAATTGAATGAGACTTTGGAGTGGAGTGAGTCACCGCTGGGTTTGTTTGAGGACTAATGGTTGGTACATAATAAATTTAAACGATTCATGACATTCGTTCAAGGTAATATTGGTCCCAATGTTACATGGGACAACCATTTTTATATATCAATTATTTATATATAACAGAGTATGATATAGCCAGAGGAATGATGGCAGAGAGATGCATTGCATAATTACAACCCAAGAGGGAAGAGCATAGAACAACAGAAAAACTGCCTATTAATTTAGTGCTACTTTAGAATCGATGTTTATCTCAGAGCGGAGGCTACTTATTCTTTGGGAACAACGCAACAAAAGTTAAAAACACATGTTTCCGTTTCAAAAGATCAGGAATAAGAAGAAGAAAGAAGAGGCTGCTAAAGGAAGTATGTGGAGGAAAGGGACGTTGATGGAGATTGGAGAGGGAGTAGGGTGCAGATAGTGTTGTACCCTGTGGGTGTGTGCGTTTATTTTTATGTTTGAGTTGTATGAGTGGATAGGTGGTCGGGAACTAAATCTCAACGTTCTGCTTCCTCAAACCCCTTTTCAAACTGTGAATAGTGGTTATATTTGTTGTATCTATGTTTAATGTTTTCTGTATTGTGGTACATAAAGGAAAAACCTTTCATGCACTTCACAATGAGGAGTTGTAACACACCCAAACAGGACAAAGCGCCGGCCTCAGGATAAGAAAGTCTAAAAAACAGGGCATTTAGTTTAACTGAGCTCAAGTTCACAGCCACTTTTGACTTTAAGCAAGACACCTTGAATTTACGATGGAGAAAAATGGGGGATAATAGCTACGTATCCCACCTTCAGCCTGGGTTAGAAGGAGGATAGGGTAGAAGATCGGACCACTGCACACAGTTTGAACAGTTTACAAAAACAAGAAGGAATTTAAAGTCACATCCAGGCCTGAACTGGGTAGCCCCATGGGCGGATCCCCCACAACGTGGTGTAGGACGCAAAAAATTTAACTAAAAATTAAACAATTGTCAATAATAATTAAACACGGTTCCAAATTGGATGAATCCTTGAACTATAGGTTGTTTAGGATTAACAAACTGCACTGTAGCTATCGGAAACATGCTGTGCATTTTTGGTCTGCAAGCACTTCGCTAATTGCAGTGGTGAGAGCTGCCAGGCACTCACAATGGCTCTACAGAATCCTGAGTAGAAGTCCCATCAGACAGAGGCCTCGGTGGGAGGAGCTGCAGTAATAGCCAGCAGGAATCGCTGCATGGTGCTGACACTTCAATAGGGCCAAGAACATGAAGAGAGAGCATGAGTGGGGCAGGGGGCTGATCAAAGAGGTGTTTGAAGAAAAGCTGGATCAGTAACCCCTGTGAGAGACTCCAGGGTCCAATAGTCTGGTTGAGAGGGTTACAAAGGGTAATCCATGTTACCCATTTTGTACGTTCTGGGGAGAACAAATTTTTTGTATAAATTGACTGTGTTAAAAATATGCTCCATCTCAGGATAATACTGTTGGGCGTGTAGGAGAATCTTTGTGAAATTTAAACATCTGCCAGAGGTTGTTACTCCTTTTAAAAGAGAAAGAAATCAGACATGACACCCCCCCCCCCCCCCCCCCCCCACCCCCCCCCCCCCCCCCCCCCCCCCCCCCCCCCCCCCCCGCCCCCCCCCCCCACCCCCCCCCCCCCCCCCCCCCCCCCCCCCCCCCCCCCCCCCCCCCCCCCCCCCCCCCCCCCCCCCCCCCCCCCCCCCCCCCCCCCCCACCCCCCCCCCCCCCCCCCCCCCCCCCCCCCCCCCCCCCCCCCCCCCCCCCCCCCCCCCCCCCCCCCCCCCCCCCCCCCCCCCCCCCCCCCCCCCCCCCCCCCCCCCCCACCCCCCCCCCCACCCCCCCCCCCCCCCCCCCCCCTGGTCGAAACTACAGCTGTCCAGACCTTGCAATAAGAGCCGAGTCCTCTTGATTATATTCCAAAGAGTTCACAAACAGATTGAGTGTAATTAGTTTTTGATCCTGAAGAGAAAACAGTCCAGATTGAAAAAGGCCGGTGATATCAGCCCAGGGTCCACAGAAACAACTCATGGAGGTGGTCATTAGGAGTTGTTAGCTTTATATGCAGGGGTATATGCACATCAGCATTGAAGTCAAACGTTTCTTGGTCATGGTAACAGATTATCTACTTAGAGACTCTTTCATCTGCTGTACTAATGTGACATAGATAGTTAAATAATGTGAAGTTTGGTTCCATTGAAAGACGTAGACTGGCAAACAATAAAGAGCCTGAGCATAAAATACTCTCCGCCATTTCATTGGACATCTTATCCCTCTACTTGAGCAAATGATATTACGCTGTCAAGTGCCCGGTAATGTTTGGGTATCAGTGTGCCTTTTGGTAAATGTTACTGTTTGTGTTTTTTTCCTTAATCAATGCAAGTAATATTAGGGGACTTTTTCATTTACCATCCGTGACATGTTTTGAGATTGTTCGCCCCCCCCCCCCCCCCCCCCCCCCCCCCCCCCACCCCCCCAAAAGTGATGACATTTTCTGGAATATGCTATCCTTGTATAGGTGTTCAATTAAAGGGAGGACACCACTCGAGATGAATGCGACCAGGAAACCAGTCTCATATTCCTTTGCAGTTCCGTCTCTAATTGGATGCACCCTCCGCAAACGTCAACAAAGAATCAGAGATGTTTTATACTGTAAGTTCTGTCTCACTGATGGAAACCATTCCTTGCTTTCTTGATGTGTCACCACCACCAGTGCTCCAGATGGCTCATACCTTCCAAATGAGGCCTGAACCTCATCATTTTGGACCCACGAGTTATTTACTTACAGTATATTATTATTCAGCATCTTGCCGGCTACCCAGCACAGGAAGCAGTCAATTTGGATGCTTTTGTTATTCGCCTCATTCTATATTCCAACTCAAGAAGCAGCTCTTTCCATTGATTCAAATTTGTAAAATGGTATGAAACTAATAACGGCCCAATGTGTATGAACTTGCGAACAGACCAAATGGTAGTGCAGTCGAAAAGCTGGGCAGGACAAAGAGAATGGGTGTTGGAAGGGGGATCAATGTGTGAAAAAGAGTGTGGATGGCTAAAAAACAAAAGGGGCTAGAGATGAATGTTCACCAGGTTTTTGCGATAGGCTTGAATAAAAAGACAGAAATGGATGAATTATGGTCGGCGCGGAGGGGGGGCAGATATGAGGGCTTTGGGCGTGTGAGGACCAGCTGAGCTCAGCGGGAGGGGTGTTTGGGATTGCAACACGGGGGGAGGACCGAGATTGCGACTGGTAAAGTGATAAGTTGGAGAAAATGCCTACCTGGCAAGGAGCCATGCAGAACCCCCCCAACTGGGCACCAGATAACCAAATCACACCACACACACACAGAGGCACACCTGCCCCGCCATGGCTTCTCAGCGGGACAGCTATTACCTCCTACAAGACTACCCGCACCCACACGCAGGTAGATGTGACATTAGAGTTAAAAAACTAATCCCAAGGTTCCGTCTGTGGAATACCCTAATATGGCCGCCCTTGCCACGCTGACCTCTTATAGGCCAAACAGGACTGTCCGTCAAACTAATGGGGCGAACCGCTTGGCATATTGCTTTCCCACCAATCCCTCAGAAGGAGCCAGGACACTCATTTACTCCAGTCAGCTCGTTGACACGGAAACATGGAGGGATGCTACGTCGCTCCACACGTAAGATTCAAGCAAATATTTTTCACTTGCAAAGTTCAGGCCCGACCCTCTGTTAAATGCGGGCTACAGTGACTGTGATGCGTGGACGAAAACCCACACGCAGGCACATTGAAGAGTTGAATTTTATGCACGCAGCCAGAGGCCGCTGGCAATCGCTGTCTGGAATATGGGGCGTGCTCTATAGTGCTCTCTGCTTCCTTGGTCTCATCAGTGCTCCCCAAAACCAAATCTTGCACTCTCCCCACAGCTTTCATCCACCAAATACATGCCCCCTTTTTGTTCATTTGTTCAGAAAACAGGAGCTAGACAAGACCAACCATTCAATTTATTTGTGCTGCACGTCCACAGAGAACACAAGATTTGCCTATAAACCACATCAAACTTTAAAGTTGACCTGAAAACCTTACTTCCCACGAACCACAACTACTTCGATGTCTGAAACTGTTTGGTGTCTGATCCACTAGTTTTCACAAATGTTTCATAAAAGTTACACAGAGAAAAGGCTTCACAGGAGTAGAGGTCATGTACGCTCGGCTGAGGTTTGTTAGTTTTGCCCTTTTACTCATTTAAACAAGATGTATTTTATGGAAAGGTTCGGAAATGTCACCCATCACGTAACATTTGTACGAAGTGGAATCCCTAGATTCCTCCTCTTGATGCAGGCATTTTGGAAGTAGTATTTTGACTACTGTTAGCCGCAAGTGGAGCACGTTTTAATACGCAATTTCACGCTCCAGTGGTCCCAGAGGCAGCTCTACCTGGAGGATGCTGCGGCTATAAGGAAATGGAACGGTGCCTCTCGGTGTGAGGTCTTGCTCATCTACAAGTGCTAGTTCGAGTTACACATGTCATTTAATCCGTTTGCTACATACGTAACACAAAGATTGCTGCATTACTATACATGTCTATTATATTGATGGTCTATATCCACATTTTTCTTTTCTCTTAGATAAAAAAGTACTTTTCCACTTTTTATTGTGTAAGTCTAATATATTCATGAGTGTGTTTGTGGCTCCCTCACAATCCTGGTGCTCTCAGTCCCCCATAGACCAAACAAACAGACACCTAGCTGCCTGTCTTTCCCTGTCGGTTTGTATCAGTCGGATCACTGGGGTTGAGATTACAAAGGTGCTTCACATCTAGTAACTAGTGGGTAACTCAGCGCAAATATTTAGAATTCTTTGTTCAGTTTTCATGTAGTTCCAGAGCCTAATGGAGGCTTGATTCGGAGGCTCCTTGAAAACAAACAACTGAGAATGCGCACAGCTACGAGCATCAGCGCTGATGATTGACAGCCCTTAGCATCACTTGATTGGTTAAAGTGGACGGCATCGTGGATTTTGAGCTATAGCTAAGAGAAGGGAAGGTGGGACTTACCCGTAATATTAGAATTAATAAAATTACTCATTTTATGTCAAAATTCAAGGCCAGGAGGTCAATTTAATATAATTCTTAAAATGTGTAATTCATTTAGAGTTCCAGACTATCACTTTAAAGCTGAGATGAACATTTTAGGAAGCCTTCCACAAGCTTTTGACAGTAAACTGGTGGAGGATTGACCCACTCCTTCTGACAGAACTGGTATAACGCCTTTCCAGCTCCAAGCGAACAGACAGGACTGTGATGGCCTCTCTAACACCTTGACATTGGCCAAGCAACACTGGATACATTTGAGCATGTTTGCGGGTTCTCTGGAATACCCATGTGCAACCCAGCTCTTACTAACATCTTGAGATCTTGGTTAGAAATATCCACAATAAAAATCCATCATTCTTCTTTATTGTGATGCCATTGCGTGCACCAGTTCACTCCAACAACATGATGCACTTTGAGCAGATTGAGAGGGAAAGGAATTGCATGTGATAAATTATTTGTTTGGGAGAAGGTAGGAAGAAATCATTGTTCATCGTTGAAGCAATGTACAAGAATACAATATCTGTAAGACGAGCAAAAGTAGTGGAATGACAGAGTGACGATTCAGAGGGGAGAGCCTGGCAGTGGAGGCAGAGGAAGGGTCCAGGAGCGAGCTGTGAGGATTTTAATTAATGCTAATTGGCCACTGAGGGAAAAGGAACGCGAGATGGAGGAAGAGCTGTGTCTGACAGTGTGAGATCTCTCTTCTTTGTACCGTCTCCTGCAGCATTTTCTATCTGCACTTCAACATCTACATCTTGTTTTTGTCTTTTATCTCCTCCAAAGCCTCCACCAGAGATATAATGTACATAACAGTATTATACAATATTTACCATACACAAAGTCCCTGTCAGATAAAAGTGGGGTGCAGTAAAATATGTTATAAGGAAATGTAAATCTGACCTATAGCTCCCTCAGTGGAAAGGTGACGCTCCTAGGGATTTAAAAGGCTGAAATTGGATTATACCGATGTGAGAGGAATTTAAACACAACTTGAGAAGGCATGGCTGCTCACAGTAAACAAATGTTACTGAAAGGCTATCCAGTGGTTTCATAATACACATACAGGCACTAACAGGAAACTACAACTAGACAATGTTAACAATACAGATAAGTAATTGGGGTTTTGAATCTCACCATCTCTAATTTTTTAATGCAATTTCAGTCTTGGTTCATTCCATTTATCTAATGCTCAAATGCTATCTTATTATGTTTTGATGCATGCGTTTAGCTGGGGACCAATGGGCAATAGGGAAACTGACTCATAGTAACAGTATTGGTACACAGGTGCTCTGGGTGTACGGTCGCCTCAACAACACGTCTGCTGATGCAATTTAAGTGCGCGAAGCTTCTTTATCTTTATCATTATAACAAAATAATGAATATGCAATATGTAAGTCATTTCTGATGCAAACAGATCTCTCAGTGTCTGTTCTTATGTGTTGTCTTATGTCTTATGTGTTAACTTATGGACCGCCATATCAACATCTCCCAATTATAGGTGTCCCATGCTAAACCGTGGTGTGCCATAAACCAGGGGGTTGCTAGGTTACAGCTCAGGGATGCAGCTGGTTAAGTGGTTTTGGGATCACAGTCTTTCTGGCAGCGCGACTCAGGACAATTCTGAAACTTGTGAGACACAATTCCTCCCAATAGAACAGCTGCTTGCATGAACATACAAAGCAGCGCATTGTTGAATTTGAGATCAGCCCTTTCTCTGCTATTCCATCTCCTGTGTATTTGGTTTGACATTTCCCTTCGTTGCACACCTTTGCTTCATGTCTGTGCATGTTTGGTTATAGTTTGAAGCGTTCTTTGCCTCCTGCTGCGTCGTAATCAAGTCCTGTTGTGAATGTTTAAGCAGCTTTTTTAAGCCAAGATTGGATCTTATTAGTATGCACAGAGTGAACAGTGGTTTAGGTCCATTTAGACTGTTTTTGCATGTTTGTCTGCTTCCTCATTAATAATGTACACCTGTGAGCAGCCAGTGCTACAGATAGATCCACTGGCGAGCTCATCACTTTATGAACATGTTTATTGTCGATATAACACACTTCTCTTTGCCAGCTGCAGAGTACTCACACCCATTTCTTCCTCACTGTCAATGTAGAATCATAATCTCTTATTACAGAGTATACACACATACATATACTCACACACACACACACACACACACAATCATACACACACACATATACATATACTCACACACACACACAATCATACACACACACACATATACATATACAAACACTCACACACATACACACATATACTCACATACACACACACATACATATACTCATACACACACACACACACACACACACACATACATATACTCATACACACACACACACATATACACACAAACATATACTCACACATGCACACACACACACACACACACACACACACACACATACATATACTCACACACGTGCACAAACACACATTTATAAACTCAAACACACATACATACATATACTCACACACGTACCCACATGCATATACTCACACATGCACAGATACATATTCTCACAAACACACGCGCACACATACATATATTCACACACGTACACACATACATATACAGTACACACACACACATACACACACTCACAAACACACATACACACGCACATCCGCACACACTTATACCTGAATGCCCTGGGCGCTGGTTCCACCTCTAATGTGTGTGTCTGCAGTGGGTTGTTGTGATGATTAACTAAATGTCACATTAAAAGAGAAAGGGATGAGAACCTGTCATGTACCGACTTTCAACTGGCACCTCCCCAAGAATAAACCAGATGACTTAAGATACGGGTTTAATGAAGTCATTTGTCACTCATTTTTCATACTGGATTTTACAATATTACTGTTTAGTGTAATGCTTTGCCGTCCAAATTAAAGCACTACATAAAACAGTGAGGTAAAATATTAACATGCTTTATTTCACCCAGACCTTTTTCCGGAAATATAAAATACTCTTTATTACATGCCATTATTTAGTACTTCATATCAATAGAAATATGTAATAATATTAACAACAAAAATGCATTTATCCATTGTGTGTGTGTGTGTGTGTGAGACAATGGGATTCAAGTAAAGTAACTGTTGCATGATCATTACAGGCTCCTCTATAAGTAAAAAGGTATTTAACAAAGTCAAGGAGCTCATTTAAAGCAGAGTTATATTGTATCTGTGACCAAAGTGTGTTTCTCTGAAGTGTGCTGAGGTGTTATATTACAGATTCTAAATATAAACCATAGTGATGAGTTTTGAAGTAGGTAACTTAAAAGCCGCTGCTGCTGCTAAATTGTTCTTGTTCGCACAAACTTATGCTCTTTGCAGTCACATGTTTTTCATCAGATGTCAGGAAATATTGATTCATCTCCGGCTCAGAAAAAGGCTTTTCTGTCAGGTTGAGTCTCCAGCGTTTCCGCATTATACATGCAGTCGTGAAGTGTCACTTAATAATTGAATGCCATTTACTCTTCTATAAATGGAATGACGTTAGAAACATTATTAAGCATACACCCAGGAAAACATGCACGGTAAATTAGGAGCGGAAAAATGAATTATGAATAAGAATATTCTGAAGGGAAGCCAACATTTTTTCTTACATCTCAGCCTTATTTAAAGGTAACCAATAAGTTTATGCTATTGTAAATTGTATTAGATCTTATACTAATCTGAGATATAAATAAAAACAACACATAACCAAGACAAATCTGATGCACAAGAAATGAGACAAGACGCACTAAATTAATATGTCAGTTCCATTTTCAATATCAGACCAATCCGGTTATAATGATAATGATAATGCATCGGTTTTATATAGCGCTTTTTTGACACTCAAAACCCAGACCCAGAACACATGTATTTCCTGTTTGAGACGGCTCAAAGCCTTTGTGAGTCGAGTGTGCATGTTCAGGTAAAGATTACTAAGTTATCTCTGTGTCTGGGTGCTCAGGTTTCCATTACCACTAATAATGTACAATGGGACTATGAAAAACTCCTCTCAAATACACAACCCTATGATAGAACAATAATGTGCAATAGTGTGCATGAGCGTAAACAACGTCTAGATCACGGTTGTAAATCTATATGCATTTTTTGTATACAGGCGGAAGGTTCAAATGTAGCACCTTTTTATACTTGGAGGTTTTTTAAGCTAAAGATGAAGATTTTATTTTTGATGTTCAGAGTTGTGCTGCTGTTCATTCCAACTGTTCAGTAACTTGTGATGCAACACTGACATTTCCCCACTGTGGGGCTAACCAAATTGAATATCTGAGTGATATCTTTTGCGTCTTCTCTTCACAATCTGAATAAACCTGTGAGCTACTCTTCTCAGTCGGCTCTTTTCTCACAGTCACGCCTCAGAGAACACTTCTCTGGGGGGTCGACTTCACGGACATCTTACTCACACTTGGCAGGGAGGCCGTATGCGCAGGTAATCTTGGCCTGTCCAGTCTCACAGCCGTTCAGGGAGGCACACTCCTTCTTCAGCAAGGGACCTGAGGCTCTATGGATGGCTCCGTCCACTGTAGAAGAGAAAAGACAAGAGGATTGGCCTACTTTCTAAGAATCCCTGTCCAAATGTGTGGAGAATACAGAAAGCACGACACTAAACAATACACTAAATTCGTCTCTTGTCGCCATCCGAGCAGAGGTTAAAGACGGAAATTAAACTCTAAACAGCATGCTTTGGCTTTGTAATGTCTAATAAAACCTTCCTTACCTGCCATACACAGGGCAAGGTACAAATATATCTGCTGTTTTTCTTCTAACCATTTTTAGGCGTGTTAGAATGGTGTTGCTAAGATATCACATGTATTTATTCATTTTCGTGGCACAAAAAAAAACGTAATTTTTCTCGTGAAGTTTTTACTTTCACTTTACACCAAAACAGTGAGATTTGCTATTCAAGCCTTCGCCAGTCAATATAATGAATTTAAGGGTAACGCTTTAGTTAATTAGTCAATTTACAGTGTTATTACAGACTCTACTGACTTTGACGACTTGCCCAATTACACTTTATTAATTACATTTTCATAAATCCACATAATACCCAGAGATGTGTTTCAATCTATGATCCACAACGTTTATAAAGGCTGTGACTGTATTCATTTCCAGAAGGGCAATGAAGCTGCAAAAGCAATTTTTTACAGCTCTGCCAATTACTGCGGCTGTTCAAATCAGACACGCGTTGGGTTTAGAAGTAAATATTTACAATATTTGTTCAGTGCACCACAGAGGCTAAAAAACTCCCACTTAAAATAAACCGTTAGTCTATTCAACACATTCAATAGAGTAATCTTGCTACCAGATTATGCAGAGAATTCGAAACATGAGATGGTCTTTGCTCCTGTGCTTGTATGCTACTTCACTGTTTTTGCTTTCTCTGCAGAGTGGCTGGACCTTAGAGATAAGGTGAGGAGCATGGTCACACTGGAGGAGCTCAGAGTAGAGCCGCTGTTTCTCCACATTGAAAGAAGCCAGTTGAGGTGGCTCCATGGGGAGGTGTTGAAAGCATGTCCAACCCGGAAGAGACCCAGGACACGTTGGAGGGACTATGTCTCTCAACTGGCCTGGGAACTCCTTGAGATTCCTTTGAATTAGCAGGAGGAGCCGTGGGGGGATAGGTAAGTCTGGGCTTCTCTGCTTGGACTGCTGCCCCCGGATAAAGCAGAAGAAAATGGATGGATGGACCTTTGGACTGAGTCTGTGTGAGTGATTAAAACGACAAAGATATTAGATTTTTTTAAGGGAGTTGAATGCTCCTCTCCGCGGCTGTCTGTGTTCTGCAAATGTACTTCTAGTTGCAATATATTTTCCTCGTCATTTTCTGTACGTATACGATCTCCCACCTCTCCAAACAAATTCATGCAGCCGTGTGACTATATAGGAATCCCACTCGTACCCTGGGAGCGCATGTTGAACAGAAGGCCCCCATTCAAAGGTTCAAAATGTTATCTCACATCTTTTGTTTCAAGTTTTCACGTCTGGTGGCTTTCAGAAGTCGACCTCACAGTGAGCAAAGAGCAAAGGCAGCGAAAGACGACTTCTGAGCACTACAGTGCGGGTCCTTGGGCGAGCACATAGAGCCGTGTGTGTGTGTGTGTGTGTCATAGACTGTGTGTGTATCGTGACAAAGGATGTCGCGCACACTGACACACTGTGAACAGGCCTTGAGGTCCACCAACTCTGAAGCGGACCAACTCGGAAATAGGAACAAGTGCGATAAGCCTGCCAAATGAAAAAGGAGAAGTTGAGAGTGAGGGAATAAAGGGGCGCAGCAGATGTAAAAACGTCTGCGGAGAAGATAAGCAGCAAAGGGAGAAATGAAAGAAATTGAACTCCAGTGAGCGTCAACAATAGTGTTTTTTGTTGTGTGTGTATTGTTGGAAAGATGCATGTGGTTATGCAGAAAGAGCAGTGCATTGTGGCCTTTACGCCGCAGATCTCATGGTGGACTGCTTCCTATAGCCTGAAGCTAACACACCACCTCTTGACCTTATGAGTGATAGGCCACATCACTCATACATAAATATAGCTCCATAAATGCAATACTAAAAATACAGAGAGATATATTCCCATAATAAATGTGCATATAGAGAATAAACAGGAGAGTTATGCCGTGCTAGCTAACCTTTCTTGTGCTAATGCTGGAGGCTGAGGAATAACAGTTTTGCTGCTAAGGGAGGCCATGTGATTTACAACAGCCAGGAGCCATTCACAAATGGAGCAGTGAACTGTTGGTAGAAGTAAATGTTACGTTCACTTTTCTTTGGATGACAATAATGAATATATATCAGGTTCCTAGATTGGTTCCATTAAAGTATCTATGTAAAAAGAAAAGGCAAATAGTTGTTCAATCGTTTATTGCAAATTGATCAAATAGATTGTAGCCTTACTTGGGCTCAAAAATTGGACGTTTGTCCAAAATAATGAAATTGAATGAGACTTTGGAGTGGAGTGAGTCACCGCTGGGTTTGTTTGAGGACTATGTAAACAATTCATGACATTCGTTCAATGTAATATTGTTCCCAAAGTTACATGGAAAACCATTTTTTTAATATCAATTATTTATATATAACAGAGTAGATATAGCAGAGGAAGAGGAGAGAGATGCATTGCATAATTACAACCCAAGAGGAAGCATAGAACAACAGTGCCTATATTTAGTGCTACTTTAGAATCGATGTTTATCTCAGAGCGAGGACTTATTCTTTGGAACAACTCACAAAAGTAAAAACACATGTTTCCGTTCAAAGATCAGGAAATAAGAAGAAAGAAGAAGCTGCTAAAGGAAGTATGTGGAGGAAAGGGAGTGATGGAGAATGGAGAGAGTAGGGTCAGATAGTGTACCTGTGTGTGTGTGCGTTTATTTTATGTTGTGTTGTATGAGTGATAGGGGTCGGAACTAACTCAACGTCTGCTTCCTCAAACCCCTTTTCAAACTGTGAATTGTGGTTTATATTTGTTGTATCTAGTTTATTGTTTTCTGTATTTTGTACATAAAGAAAAACCTTTCATGCACTTCACAATGAGAGTGTAACACACCAAAAGGACAAAGCACGGCCTCAGGATAAGAAAGTCTAAAAAACAGGGCATTTAGTTTACTGAGCTCAAGTTCACAGCACATTTGACATTAAGCAAGACATTGAATTTACGAGGAGAAAAATGGGATAAAGCTACTTATCCCACCTTCAGCCTGGGTTAGAAGGAGGATAGGGTAGAAGATCTGACACTGCACACAGTTTGAACAGTTTACAAACAAGAAGGAATTTAAAGTCAATCCAGGCCTGAACTGGGAGCCAATGGAGATCCCCAACTGGTGTAGACGCAAAAATTTAACTAAAAATAAACAATTGTCAAAATAATTAACACGGTTCAATTTGATGAAACTTGAACTATAGGTTGTTTAGGATAACAAAATGCACTGTAGCTATCGTAACAAGTGTGGCATTTTTGGTCTGAATCACTCAGCTAATTGCAGTGGTGAGAGCTGCCTGCCTCACATGGCTCTACAGACATCCTGAGTAGAGTCCCATCAGACTGAGGCCTCGGTGGGAGCTGCAGTAATAGCCCAGCAGGATCGCTGCATGGTGCTGACACTTCAATAGGGCCAAGACATGAAGAGGAGACATGAGAGGGGCAGGGTGCTAATCAAAGAGGTGTTTGAAGAAAAGCTGGATCAGAACCCCTGTGAGAGACTCATGTCCAATAGTCTGGTTTAGGGGTTACAAGGGAATCCATGTTACCATTTTGTACGTTCTGGGAGAACAATTTTGTATAAATGACTGTGTAAAAATATGCTCCATCTCATGAAATACTTTGGGGTGTAGGAGAACTTTGTGAAAATTAAACTCTGCAGAGGTTGTTACTACTTTTAAAGAGAAGAAATCAGACATGACAGGTCGAAACTACAGCTGTCAGCCTTGCAAAGAGCCGAGTCTCTTGATTATATTCCAAAGAGTTCACAAACAGATTGAGTTTAATTTGTTTTGATCTGAAGAGAAAACATTCCAGATTGAAAAGGCCGTTGATATCAGCCCTGTCCACAGAACAACTCATGGAGGTGGTCATAGGAGTTGTAAGCTTTAAGCAGGGTATATGCACATCAGCATTGAAGTCAAACGTTTCTTTGGTCAGGTACAGATTATCTACTTAGAGACTCTTTCATCTGCTGTCATAATGTGACATAGATAGTTAAATAAAGTGAAGTTGGTTCCTTGAAAGACGTAGACTGGCAAAAAAAGAGCAGAGCAAAATACTCTCCGGCCATTTCATTGCATCTTATTCTCTACTTGAGCAAATGCGCTGTCATGTGCCGGTAATGTTTGGGTATCAGTGTGCTTTTGGTAAATGTACTGTTTGTGTTTTTTTCCTTAATCAATGCAAGAAAATTAGGACTTTTTCATTACCATCAGTGACATTTTTTGAGATTGTTAGCCTAAAAGTGATGACATTTTCTGAATAGCTATCCTTTTTAGGTGTTCAATTAAAGGAGGACATCACTCGAGTGAATGCGACAGGAAACAGTCTCATATCCTTTGCAGTCCGCTCTAATTGGATGCACCACCGCAACGTCAACAAAGAATCAGAGATGTACTGTAAGTTCTGTCTCACTGAAGAAACCATTCTTTCTTCTTGATGTGTCACCACCACCAGTGCTCAAGATGGCTCCATACCTTCCAAACTGGGCCTGAACCTCTTCATTTGGACCCAGATATTTACTTACAGTATATTATTATTCAGCATCTTGCCTGCTACCAGCACAGGAAGCAGTCAATTTGGATGCTTTTGTTATTCGCCTCATTTATATTCAAACTCAAGAAGCAGCTCTTCCATTGATTCAAATTTGTAAAATGTATGAAAAATAACTGCAAAGTGTATGAACTGCTAACAGACAAAAGGTAGAGCATTGAAAAGCTGGGCAGGACAAAGAGAATGGGTTTGGAAGGGGATCAAGTGTGAAAAAGAGTGTGTATGGCTAAAAAACAAAAGGGCTAGAGATGAATGTTAACCAGGTTTTTGC